GCACCCAAAGTGTCCATTGGCGGACTTCAGTCACACCGCCAGCTGATTGGCTGTGCTCACTGTTCATTTGGGAATTCTCCATCCGGCTCCTTTCGACAAAAGTCAACAGAATAATGAAGTTTGGTTGAGCGGGCAGGGCCACAAACAGCTCAAATTTCGGCCAAATACTTTAAAAGCCAGTGTTTTATTTTTTTTTGCTGCCTTTGTCCAATTTTCCTGGAGATGCAACAGGAAGCCAGAGGAAATCTGTGCAAAGCAAGGGGATATGTCCTCTAAGAGCAGGGATAGGCCACCTCGGCACGCTAGCTTTGGTGAAACAACAATACTCCCATCATACCTCTGTGAGTCATGCCTGTGGCTGTCAGAGCCGTGCAATGCCTCATGGGACTTGTAGTGTCGCCACAGCTGGAGTGCCGAGGTTTCCTACCCTTGTCTTAGACAGTTGTCCCCAGTGGAAGATTCCCCCTCACTTCCTGTTCCTGTGTCAGCTCCAAACCTTGGCATTTCCTATCACCTTCTCTACCGGTGACAACGGGTGAATCTTCTCAGAGAACGGACATACACAGCAATACAAACCTCACAGGGCCTTTAACACTTCCTCACTCCAGCTTTACATAGACCAACCAACAGATCGTAGTTAGGATGGGTAAAAGGGGGCCGACATGGCGGGAAAAGGGGTTTCCTTTGATTACAATATATAATCATTATAACTGAAGCCCCTCTACATTCGGAGATCCCGCTGTCATCAATGAGACGTTGATCCCCTTTGTTCCATATCAGCGGTGGCTTCCTGAGAACAAGCGCCTGTGGCAATGATCCAAACCGACCCGTACACAACAAGCTCAGGTTGCAGGAAACACGCAAATACATTCCGCAGCTAGCTCCTGGCAAGTTCTCGCACACACCGAGCGAGTTCTCCCACAAGAGGAAATCACTTTACTGGCTCTCTTACACATGGCCGCCGCTGAGTCACAAGATGGCCGAGCAGCCCAGTGCCAATTACACAACGACTCCCCTTTTTCCAGGCAGGGTGTCACAGCGGGGTGCGGAGCTGTGACAAGGACAATATTGATGTTCTGCCGGTAGTATTATTTCTGCCTGATGAGGTCAGAGCGAGAGTCAGTGACACGACGAGGTGAGCTATAAATAATACTCTGACGTTATAAAATAGCAGCCCGTCCATCCGCTGTGAGCGACGCGTGAAAAGAACACAACGTGCGGCTGCATGACAAAGACATTGTGCAAAGCCAACGCAGGAGGAAAAGTATTTCCTTCTAACCGGGAGGGACAAGTCCAGATATGACCTGTATATGAAAATATACACAGCGAAGCCTCCCAGACCCACCATCGTACCGGACCCATGAGGATGTTCTAGGCTACGGTGTATATAATGATAGCTACGACAGGATTATAGAAAGTACAAGAATCACTAGAACTATGTGCAAAAGAGCTTACAATCTAAAGAGGAAAGGGAAAGATTCAAGGGGAAGGGAGCTTTGGTAGCAGACGTTATGTTGGCGATATCTATGTACTAATGGGAGGAGTCAAGGAAGAGTCAAGCAAAAGTCAAGGAAGAGTCAAGCAAAAGTCAAGGAAGAGTCAAGGAAAAGTCAAGGAAAAGTCAAGGAAAAGTCAAGGAAAAGTCGGGGGAAAGAGAGACGCGACTTTAATCTGCATTATATATGTTTTTTATAAGTCTTCAGGGTGAGTTAAAGGACAATGTCACCTTTAGCGAAGCCCCAAACCCCCAATGCAACCCACTCGGGATTATACTCGCCCTACACCCCGATCCCATGAGCTTTCCTCTGGCATGGTCACATGGTACCGGCTCACTTTTCCTAATGCTGTGCAAGCAGCCCCATTCATTCCTATGGGTAAGTCATACTCAGAGGGACCAATGGAGGCCGCCATGTGTATGGCTTTCCCCAAGGCTGGGCAAGTCTCAGGAGCCAGGTCGCCAACGCTCCTAAAAAGTGATAGCTGGCGCCTAACTTTGGAGATAGAATGGCTCCTGAATCGTATATGAATTTGTCCATCCCTGGCTTACCCATAGGAATGAGTGTAGCCGCAGCAGGCATGAAGATGAGCTAGATTAAAGAGGAATGGATCAGGGAGGAGGGAAAGTATTATACATTATGGTCCTCTGGGTGGTGGTCCATATTGTCTTGTTGGGTCTGTGGCATAGGAAGAGATGGGAAATCTCCCCGATGGGACACAAACAGCATAAAAAGAAAATCGCGATGGGCAGAACCCTTTGCTACTTCATCCACAAAACCAAACAGAGACGTTTTGGCTATGCAAACACTTGAAAGGCTAGGAGGGAGGGTTTCTGAATGCATATGGAAAGGAGTTCCAGGGAAGGGAGGCAACACAAGAGAACTTCTAGAAGAGAGAGAACGTGAAGGGCCTATGGCATGAGGAAAGGAATTTCAGAGAAGGAAGGCAGCACAAGAGAACTTCTAGAAGGGTGAAGGGCCTATGGCATGCGGAAAGGAGTTCCAGGGAAGGGAGGCAGCACAAGAGAACTTCTAGAAGAGAGAACATGAAGGGCCTATGGCATGAGGAAAGGAATTTCAGAGAAGGGAGGCAGCACAAGAGAACTCCTAGAAGGGTGAAGGGCCTATGGCATGCGGAAAGGAGTTCCAGGGAAGGGAGGCAGCACAAGAGAACTTCTAGAAGAGAGAACATGAAGGGCCTATGGCATGAGGAAAGGAATTTCAGAGAAGGGAGGCAGCACAAGAGAACTCCTAGAATAGAGAAGGTGAAGGGCCTATGGCATGTGGAAAGGAGTTCCAGGGAAGGGAGGCAGCACAAGAGAACTCCTAGAAGAGAGAAGGTGGAGGGCCTATGGCAGGCGGAAAGGAAATCCAGAGAAGGGAGGCAGCACA